TGGTTAGTGTAACCCTAGTACAATCAGATTAAAAAAAGGCTTTTAGTCGTAACTTTTCTTCTAGGTAAAACTTAAAGCAATCCCTAACAATAATCCTCCTTAAAGGGATATCCAGTTGTATTTGCAAGTGCTTACATAGTTTCCTAAATCCCTCACACTCGACCACTTTAAAAGGATGCTCATCAAGGATGATAAATGTGTTAATGGCCTTCCTACATATAACAGGGTTGTACCTTTTTCTTGTAGGAACTAAAAACCCCTCATTACCACTAACAAGGTTTCTTTGAGTTGGGTCTTTCAACAAAAGAGCTGGATTTTTGTGACATACTTTCGAGTGAGCTAGCATGTTAGATGTTTCATGTGTTTTAGGGTTGCATCTATATCATTTGTGACAATGTTTACACGCGGCTATTGGTCCAGGCTCACCGGGTAAAATGTTAAAGTCAGCCCAAACAGGGGAAGTTTTCCTATTTACACTAGCATTAAGTTTTCTTTTTTCCTACCATCGGGAAGGGGAGTAAGTGCAGCAGCAGCTGCTGGTTGTGTTTGTTGAGTAGGGGAAATAGGTTATTGCATCGCTGAAAAAAATTGGTTTATTAAAAATCATAGTGAGTTATAAATTTCAGATAGAGTTATAAATTTCAGATAGAGTTATAAATTTAAAATGCGTGAGTTATAAATTCCAGTGAGAGTTATAAATTTTAGATAGAGTTATACAAATCAATCATGTGATTTTAATAGTGCTTAAGTTATAAATTATGTTGTGATTCACAGACCATTGAATACTTATCATATTTATCATGTATGAATTACAAGATAAAAATTGAATTATCTTCACTCACTTCTTGCAAGCTAGAGACTCCGACTCCTTGCACGTTAGGACCTCCACCTTCTTGCAAGCTACTTTCTCTATGCTACATCTTACAATATAAAAGGGCAACCAAAACACAACCAACAAAACAACAACTGTCAATTAAAAATTACTACTTTCTTTCATCAACTTACTTTCGCAGATAATTTAATGAACCAAGAAGTTATAAATTTACAAAATTGAAATCATGAGTGAATCACAATGAAAAACATTGATACCTCAAATAGGACCTTCAGACCTTCAGACCTTCAGACATTCAAACCTGACTATATGAAGAAAAAAAGTCACAATGAAACATGGCTGAGCATACCAGACATCATACCTTCAAACTTCATACCTCAAATAGGATTAACAAGTGCCAATAAAACAAAAGATTCACGCAAATACAAAATATTCGTGTAAATAGAGTAAACATTTTTCATCAATCAATTTATTTACCTCTAGCATCTAACAAAGATATCAGAATGTTCAAGAAAAATAATTTCACCATTTCAGTTTTGTTAAGGTGACATAAAAATGAAAGTTTTAAGTTGTTATAGAGAGATAGAGAAAGACATGACAGAAGAAGAAGAAAGAGATCAACGAAAAGGAAGTGAAACTTACATGATCTGAAACGATGGTGGCGTGGTGGTGGTACAACGACAACAACAACAACAACTTGAAGATGAATGAACATCGTTATGTTGTTATCTTGTTGCGTTTCTGAATTCTGAAACCCTAGAAACATGAGAAATGAACAACAAAATGAAGGATTTGTTCTGTTGATGTTTTTGTCTTGGGCCATGCCCAGTTATTGAGTCCAAATTCCAGTTCAGTCCAGTGTGATAAAGTAATAATACATAATACAATTATTGGGCCTGCCAGATTCGAATATCAAAGGGTCTAAATCAATCATCTGAACCAACCCACATAAACTCATGTAAACTCATAAATAACTAACCCGATAACCCAAAAAATCAGTTCACCCGAACCGAAAGCATACGGGCCTAATGGGACAGACAGTTTAGACTGATTTTACTTATTTTGTCCAACCCTAAAAATGATATTAAATAAAATTTATGACAAAATTTGATATGCGTAGCCTATTATACTTAATAGGATACAAATTGGTTGTTATTGACATCATTGATACATGTCAATTTTGTCTCTAGTTAACAGCTCCATAGTGAAATTAAAGTACCCACTTTTTGTGTATTGAGCTGACACTATGACACAAGACATTTGTTTTTGTTATTTTTTATTTGAAGTTTAAACTGACCACGGTTGTTCCATAATCACACATTTGTTTTTGTTATTTTTTATTTGAAGTTTAAACTGACCAAGGTTATTCCATAATCACATGATAACAAGTATATGAGAAATTAAATATTATCCCTATTTTATATATGTCATCTCTTAGACGTGACATATTTAACAAATTTTCTCTGAAATATATAAGAATAAATGTAGAAAATTTTGTTAAATTTTTAAGTTTTTACCGTATTATTTGATCATAATCGGAAAATTGAAATTTTTGATATCGGAAATTTTAAATTTCTGGTGTTTTTCCTTATTATAAAAACATATCAGAAATTTAAAATTTTACGGTATATGTATTCATTATAAAACTTCATCTACAAACATATAAGAAATTTCAAATATAATTGAAATTTCTGATACTCTAGAAATTTGAAATTCCCGATAAAGATTTTATAGCAAATTTTTGGTATGTGTAAAGACTTTTGTAAAATTTTACGGAAATTTTAAAATTTCCGATAAATCGTAATCGGAAATTTTGAAATTCCTTATATATCACTATCGAAAATTTGTAGAATGTAAAAAATTTCTGATATACGATAAAAATCGATACCGAAAATTTGCTAAGAGTAGCAGAAATTTTGAAATTTATCTTTTTAACCAATAGTAACTTTTTTTTGATAAAAATAAAAAATTTAAAATAAATAGGAAAATGAATATTTTAAAAATGGCATGTATAATATAGAAAATGATAATGTTAATTTCTTTAAGTTTATGGTCATTAGAAACCACACAAACTCAAACTGTGCCGGATAAAATCCACTTATTTTCTTGGAAACTTCATGACAAAATTTGATTCTAGTTTCTAGAAGCCTGAGTCACCGTAATATAACCCTTAATAAAGCACTTTGATTAAGTTACTTTACTAATTTTTATTTTTGTGAAATAATTTTTTTTATTTTTGTATTGATTAATTAAAAAAATAATTTTTTTTAATCAATTCATCAATCAATTATGTATTAATGTGAATGTTGGGTCATTGCCCGAAAACAACACGTTATATTAGTCGAGTACATTGTCAAAAGAGTAAGTGGTACTATATCGCCATCTGAATGCATTGAAAAATAAAAAGAGTTTCTACATTTTCGTAAACATGTGTGAGGAAAGCAGTTAGTTCATGAGAATAAGATTTTTTTGAAACATAGAATATAGGTACACTTATAAAAAATCTATGGAACTAGTGGACACTATGATTAGGAGAAAAATCAATTTTACGTGTCTATAAGAAACTAAGTGGACATATGAAAATGTGAAAGAATTAGGCAATGTGGTTTCTAAGCTTTGGTACACTGGTAAAGTTAAATCTAGAAATCAGGTGGGATTTATTATAGACAATGAGTCGAAGATGATATTGTGGATGTGAAAAGAGTAGGAGATTGGATCATAACTCTGAAATGTGTAATAGAAAAAGACACATTTAATATTATTATTACTTATGCGCCTAGTTAGAAGAACAAGATAAAGTAAAATTTAGAGAGGATTTAGAAAGTTTATTTCAGAATATATTTTAAGGAAAGAAGATTTTTTTAGGAGGGGATCTAAATTGACATGTATGGAGCATAACAAGAGGTTTTGATGGCGTGCATGAGAGGTATGGTCTCAGGGAGGTAAATATTGAGGGTAAATCTATCTTGAAATTTTCGTCGACTTTTTATCTTATTGTAGCTAATATCTGATTTAGGAAAATAGATGATCATCTTATTACTTATAAGAGTGCGACAACATGTTCTTAAATATTTTTCTTTCTTAGTAGAAACTCAGATGAAAAGATTTGTTTGGATCATAAAGTTATATCCAGGAGAGAGTTTGATTATCCAATATAGAGTATTGGTTATGGTTGTAAGAGTCAAGAGGAGAGCAAAGAGAAGAAAAGACATGAGAGCTCCAACGATCAATAGGTGACATTTTTGAAGGGTGGAAATCAAAAGAGTTTCTAACACAAAATCTTGGAGGGAAGGTTTAGACCGCCACAAGAAAGTCTAAATGATAAGTGGAACAATATCATCCAATAGATTATAAAAGTAGTTAAAGAGACGTTGAGAGAATCAAATTTTAAACCTAGAGATAAATAATAATCGTGATGAAATGAAAGTGTTCACAATAAACTAAAAGAGTGATTCAAATGTAAAAATACCGAAAGTTAGAAAAAATATAAGAAAGTTAAGAAAGGAACCAAGAAAATTGTGAGTGAAAATTAAGAATCCTAACTTTTGACGTTTTATTACAATTTTTAGTGTGATAAGAATTAGTTATTCTTGTTGTCACGGCTCTGTTACACATCAATTTTATCCTCTACTTGATAGTTCCACACAATTACATTAAAGTATACATTGTTTTGTGCCCTTAGTTGACTCAATAGATTTTTTTGTTATTTTTCATTTGAAGTTTAAACTAACCATAGTCAAGGTTGTTCTAGAATCACATGATAACAAGTATACGGTCATTTGAAACCACAAAACTCAAACTGTGCTTGGTCAAAATCCACTGATTTTCTTGGACACCTCATGCCAAATTGTGATTCTAGTTTCTAGAAGCCTGAGTCACCATAATACAAGCCTTAATAAAAAACTCTGATGTCACCCAAGTTCACCCATCAATCGCTGCGTTAACAAGTGAATGTATTGATTTTGTACTTGATGAGATATATATGTGGAAAATGAATACTCTGACCATATACTTTCTTATACTCCCATCTTAGACGGCAATGACTTATGACTCACAAATTCCACCAAGAAAAAGACATTGACTTAATATTTTTATCATAATATGAACATCACTTCCCTTTCTCTCCTACTCAAAACCACTTCTTCTCTTTTCACTCATCTCTTAAACCATGAGCTACTCAACCTTAATCCAAACAAACACTCGTAACAATAATGAAGGAGAAGACAAAGACTTCTGCTTCTGGACTTCACCATCTTCAGAATCTTCAAGGATCAAAGATATTTTAGAAGGAAAGAAGGAACTTATGGAGATGATGAAACACATGCCTGAGTCTAGCTTTGAACTCTCTTTCCAAGACATGGTTGTTGAGCAACATCAAGTTCCAGAAGCTAAACCAGAACCAGAACCAGAACCAGAACCAAAACAAGTGTCTAGTAAAGTTCAACAACCTCAACACAAGAAGCTGAATGAGAAGAAGAAAACAAAGAAGAAGGAAAACAAATGCAATAATAGTAGACACGGTAAGATATTGAGAGCTGAAAGCATGGACAGTGAAACATTCTTACTGAAGATGGTTTTTCCAACTTCTCTTGATTGGAAGAAGAAGAAGACTACTAAAGTACAAAATGGCTCCAAGGTAGAAGTTAAAAATAAAGAATGGAGAATCAAAAGATTTTTCACTGAACATAGACAAAATACTCGTAGTAGTAGTAGCAGCAGCGACAACAATGACAAAAGCAGGTACATATATGATATTTTTTTCAGAAAATCTTAGACACTGATTCATGATACTAACACGTCAACAATAATACTAATTAATTTACATTTTGTTTGACTAGGTATGTTGATCGCAGCTACTCATTCTCACAAGGTTGCTTCCCATTCTTTGATCATATAAAAAGCAAAGTAAAGAAGGACACTTTGAAACTTGGAGGATGATTACTCATGCTCCTTTGCCAGCTTGAAAATTCCGAGTGAAATAGAGAACTCAATGCATGAAGAATTTGCAAAGAAGGACCCTTAGATATTCTTGAATTCTTGGGTTTTGATTTGTAGTAGTAGCACTCATTTTACATATTTGACAAAAATTAAAATCCAGTTTCACAAATAGGCCAAAGATGTAATTTGAAAGCTATTAGCTAAATATTTGTATTAAAAAAACTAAATATTAATCCCTGGTCCCAACATAGAATTTTTCTTCCCAATTGTATATATTCATATTAGTATTACATTATTTCTATATTTTTCATTTTTATAATTTATAGAATAGTAAGAACATATGATTTTTATTTTTTATTTTTATAGAAAAGTCCTCAGTCAGAAAACCATACGCCTAAGTGTGTGATTTGCAGGAGATTTTAACTTGCCACCTCCTAAATTGTATTTTACACCCTTTATTTAAAGTGTTTTTACTCTTATACTCATGCAAAAATCAATTTTTTTAAAGTGTTGCTGTTTATTGGAAATTTCAAATTGCTATGAGAAATTTATCAAAAATTAAGGTTCTTTCAATTTTACCACAAGAGACGTGATGTTATCAGAAATTTGAAATTTAAAAAAAAAAGAATTATTTTATTGAAAATTTCGAAATTTTTGATATTTAGTAAAAAATTCCGAAAATATGAAATTTCCGGTATAGCGTCAGATTTTCAAAATCCACTATTTTTTCATTACTTTTTCTCGAATAATCGAATCGATAAAAAAATATCCAATAAAATATATACATATAAAAACTATGCTACATAAGGATACAAAACAAATTAGGATGACTTTCTAACTTCATCTTTCAAGTGTCTAAAGTGACTCACATATGCTGATTCCCATACTTTTGCATCTTCAGTATAATTCTGTCTTCAACGGTCAGTCACAGGAGGCAATGAGCAATCAAGTTTCAACTTTACCTGAACTCAATGATTGTTGTTGACAAAACCAACAACAATGATTTTATGCCTGCTCGTATACATAGGTGGAGCTAAGACAAGAGGGAAAAATATGATGTTAAGCCTTTTGCAAAGGGAGATAAATACGACATTGTATCTAGAAGCAATAGGGTAATTCATATCAAGAATCTTCATCCATTTATCGATACCCTACATACCTAAGTAGTCTACTCGTAACACATTCCTAACGGTAGAGATCGTGTCATAGAACAACTTGGAAAACAATTGCGTGTGTTGATGAACTTGAGTATCTAATTGTGTCTGTCTCAATGGCCACGAATCTTCGCCCCATCTAAGTAAGCTCACGGAAATCATAATTTCCATCGTCACGAACATCAATAATGTTATTAATGTATGGATGTAAGAAATCAGGTAACTGGAACAAGTAAACATGTCTTGAAGATTCGGTGGATGACTGGCTACCAATTGACATACTTGACAGTTGACTTGCAGTTTATTTTGCGCATGATCTTTTCATAGTCTTACTCCCTTGCGAGCCCCAGCATACTCCTACTAGTTAGGATCACGATGCACATCACTCTCTTGACTCTTCTTACTCTCTTATTTCCCCTGTTAGGCTTAAACTTCACCGGCGGTCGACACATAGAAGTTATGGATGGACGTGTTAGTTTCTGAACCTTTTTCTTTAACACCCTCTAGCCTACAATATCCAAAGTACTGAAATATATCTCCAATTTTTCACACTCTGCTTCTAAATCCAATTGTGTGCCACTTTCTTCATGACTGACCTCATGCTCTTCAATGTGTAATTTCTTCCAAAAAATACGAATCGAGTCTAACAAAACATGATTGCCTTGTAGTTGGAAAATGGCAAGCTGACACACACACACGATAATCCATGCGTTGTTCTAATGAAGCAACCACATCTTTCTTGGATTGCACCAATAAATTTTACCCTTTCTAGTTCCTTTCCAATGAGTTGTATATACTGTCTTGAAACAAAACCATACAAGTTGAAATAGAATGGAGTGTTATAATGATGCTCAATATTGACAATACCTTTTTGGAACGATATTTTGAATGAACCTAGCTACAACTTCAACATGGTGTTCACAACATACCAACTTCGGCATAAATCTCTCAGACTTGTAGTCAACATGTTTTTTAGTCTTCAATCAGTAGACTCCATCCTAAAAACCATAAATAGAAATATATGTTAATTTATGATTATTAATGTAATAACATCAAACTGTCACGTTCCATGTACTTATTTGTTGTTGTATTTCCTAAAGGAGTGACTCTGTTAGTTCAAGAAACAACAAACCTTTATTTAAAAGGTGTCAGTCATGTTTCATTCACATACTTAACAAATAAAGGAATATCAACAAAAACAGTCTCACAGTGTTTCACGTGTTCGACTAACTCAATTTCTCTATTTGAATACATGATGTTGTTCTATATATCCATGACATGTTGGTGCCTTTCCGATTTAACACTTTACATTTCATACTAATATTTTTTGAGATATGGAACAGACACAAGAGATGAGTTAAATTTGGGAACACAAACTCCATGGCATTCATCAACGCAAGTTCTCGGTTCATCACCACAACCTTCGGTAGCAATATCTCGGAAGAGAAAAACTCTATGAGCTTTTCCAGTGCCCATTTGAAATTCGCATCCCTTTCATGTTCTAAATAGGAAAATCCAACTGAAAACATCAACTTTGTTGATGTAACACCAACAATCTCAAGCAGTGGTATCCAGTACCTGAATGATCACGATGGACATAATAAAAAAAATTGATAAATCAAAGTATGCATTTTATAATAAGCAATGATAGTCATTACCTATTTGACTTGTATGTGCAATCAAAGACCAACAATAAATGAAACATATTCAACAACTTCACTGAATCTGGATGTGTCCAAAAGATATTAACAACAACATTTGATTCGTGCAACACCCTAAAAATCTTGCGCTTATTATAATAAAATAAAGCATGCAAAGAACACATATATACACTTAGGATGTTAATCGACACGAAACTCATCTGCTCTATAACACATAATTTAACAAACAAAACATTTAACATCTAACATCACATCCTCACCTTCACTTAGGTTATCATCGCAACCGAGTACTTTATTAAAACTTAACAAATAGAGTAAAAATCTCCTCAAAACAACGTAGTAAGCATCAAACACAAGAGCATAACATTCCACTCTATAATAAACATAAACAAAATAAAAATAGTATTTTTCCTCCCGTCCAGTGTTACAGATCAGAGTAACGTAATTCTAATAACACAAAATAAAAAATAAAGAAGAAAAACCTCTCACCATTCTCCTACTCTAAGCAGCTACTCAGTTACCTGCTTATTTGTACTCCAAAGAGGAGCACATACCACAACAACAACAAAGGGGTGAGAAATCACATTAATAAAAAAAGAAATATATACTTCAAGGTAGATTACAAATATCTACATAATCAACAAGCAATCACACAATATTAGTACACAATAATATTATCACACCTAACTCTACATTATACACCAATCATCATTATGCATACAATTCATTTATGCAATGCGACTCAAGTATGCAACTCTATGCATATGCATGTGGTACCAACTCAACATTTAGTTCTCTGAGGAATCGGGTCCTCTCTCTGAACCCATGAGCCCCTATTTGAGCTCCAAGCCCCTTCTCTGAGCTTGTGATAAGCCACTAGTCCCTTCTCTGAGCTAGCGAACATGCCTTTTAACATAACTCAAATGATACGTGAATCATACATATAAATGTCAATACGTTAATATCCCTCTACGATCCTAACATAATGCATTGACGATTCTCGTAATCCCCTCGCTGGATTACCACATAACACAATCACATATGCACAACATAATATAACTATATGCAACTTAAACATGCAATAATTATTCTCATCCGGATTATATTCTCATACATACCATAACACAAAAATCACAATTAAACACACTCAATATATCATAACATCACCATAAATCATAATTCATTCTCAACACAACACCAAAACTCACATCAATCAATATTTACTTGATTAAATAAATTTAGAGTTATTAATTCTCATCATCCCCAACATAACATCAACAAACCATGTAATCCATATAAAAATACTCATGTTATCACAACATATTTAGCCTATTAAGACAATTCCATTTGATAGTATTTTGTGTTAGCTTTCCAACACTTCAAATAACAACTCATTTGGACTTACAGATCAAAAGTTATGGACAAAACTTTGGGGAATATAAATTAGGTCAAAACGACCATATTTCAAATTCTGCCCAGTATGTATCGACTCCTAGGGAGCATGTGTCAACCTATGGGACTTATGTGTCGACCTATGAGACTTATGTGTCGACTCCAAAAGAACATAAAGTGTGAATTTGCAAACGACTCGGTATGGGTCGACCCATGCAACATGTGTGTCGACTCTCAACTGCAGAATGCATAATTTCTGTGTTTTTTCATCGTTGGAGGTCTTTCGGACCTTCGATTTCAATTATGTAAAAACCCCCGATCTCAGAATTCTAAATACTACAATTATCCAATAATTAAAATAGAAAATTCACAATATTTCACAAATTAGCATCAATAAGATCATCACTTTTCAAGATTTTCAACTCGTACAACAAAATCACTTATTTTCCAAACTTCACCTGATCACTCCCTAACATGTCGAAACAACTTATTTCGAAAATCTATCATTATAGGTCATTTATATACTGTTATTACATCTCAAACCTATCAACTAACATCATATACATGTTATACATCACCAATATCATGTCAAATAATCAAATGAACACATAAAATTCTCAAATCTCCTAAAATCATACTAACCCCAAAACCTCAAAACTTTCAATAATGGCGGAAAACCTATCAAGAACCCAAAACAGAATTGTACCCATATAGGCACACAAAATTAATTATGAAAAACAAAGTATAACATCAAGGAATCATAATTTTTCAGATTCACATAATAACACAATAA